TCACATAAGATCAACACACTGGCCAACACACTCAATCCCACAAGATCAACACACTGGTTAACACACTGGTCAACACACTCAATCCCACAAGATCAACACACTTGTCAACACACTCCAACACACTCATTCACATAAGATCAACACACTGGCCAACACACTCAATCCCACAAGATCAACACACTGGTCAACACGCTCAATCCCACAAGATCAACACACTGGTCAACACACTCAATCCCACAAGATCAACACACTGGCCAACACACTCAATCCCACAAGATCAACACACTGGTCAACACGGCTCAATCCCACAAGATCAACACACACCAACACACTCTCATTCACATAAGATCAACACACTGGTCAACACACTCAATCCCACAAGATCAACACACTTGTCAACAAACTCATTTCCCATAAGATCAACACACTTGTCAACACACTCATTTCCCATAAGATCAACACACTTGTCAACACACTCATTCCCATAAGATCAACACACTTGTCAACACACTCAATCCCACAAGATCAACACACTTGTCAACACACTCATTCCCATAAGATCAACACACTAGTCAACACACTCATTCCCATAAGATCAACACACTAGTCAACACACTCTTTTCCCATAAGATCAACACACTGGTCAACACACTCATTCCCATAAGATCAACACACTAGTCAACACACTCATTCCCATAAGATCAACACACTAGTCAACACACTCATTCCCATAAGATCAACACACTAGTCAACACACTCATTCCCATAAGATCAACACACTAGTCAACACACTCATTCCCATAAGATCAACACACTAGTCAACACACTCATTCCCATAAGATCAACACACTAGTCAACACACTCTTTTCCCATAAGATCAACACACTGGTCAACACACTCAATCCCATAAGATCAACACACTAGTCAACACACTCATTCCCATAAGATCAACACACTAGTCAACACACTCATTCCCATAAGATCAACACACTAGTCAACACACTCATTCCCATAAGATCAACACACTAGTCAACACACTCTTTTCCCATAAGATCAACACACTGGTCAACACACTCATTCCCATAAGATCAACACACTAGTCAACACACTCATTCCCATAAGATCAACACACTAGTCAACACACTCATTCCCATAAGATCAACACACTAGTCAACAAACTCATTTCCCATAAGATCAACACACTTGTCAACAAACTCATTTCCCATAAGATCAACACACTTGTCAACAAACTCATTTCCCATAAGATCAACACACTTGTCAACAAACTCATTTCACATAAGATCAACACACTGGTCAACACACTCAATCCCACAAGATCAACACACTTGTCAACACACTCCAACACACTCATTCACATAAGATCAATACACTGGTCAACACACTCAATCCCACAAGATCAACACACTGGTCAACACGCTCAATCCCACAAGATCAACACACTGGTCAACACACTGGCCAACACACTCAATCCCACAAGATCAACACACTGGCCAACACACTCAATCCCACAAGATCAACACACTGGTCAACACGCTCAATCCCACAAGATCAACACACTTGTCAACACACTTGTCAACAAACTCATTTCCCATAAGATCAACACACTGGTCAACACACTCAATCCCACAAGATCAACACACTTGTCAACAAACTCATTTCCCATAAGATCAACACACTTGTCAACACACTCATTTCCCATAAGATCAACACACTAGTCAACACACTCATTCCCACAAGATCAACACACTTGTCAACACACTCAATCCCACAAGATCAACACACTGGCCAACACACTCAATCCCACAAGATCAACACACTGGTCAACCCGCTCAATCCCACAAGATCAACACACTTGTCAACAAACTCATTTCCCATAAGATCAACACACTTGTCAACACACTCATTTCCCATAAGATCAACACACTTGTCAACACACTCATTCCCATAAGATCAACACACTTGTCAACACACTCAATCCCACAAGATCAACACACTTGTCAACACACTCATTCCCATAAGATCAACACACTAGTCAACACACTCATTCCCATAAGATCAACACACTAGTCAACACACTCTTTTCCCATAAGATCAACACACTGGTCAACACACTCATTCCCATAAGATCAACACACTAGTCAACACACTCATTCCCATAAGATCAACACACTAGTCAACACACTCATTCCCATAAGATCAACACACTAGTCAACACACTCTTTTCCCATAAGATCAACACACTGGTCAACACACTCATTCCCATAAGATCAACACACTAGTCAACACACTCATTCCCATAAGATCAACACACTAGTCAACACACTCATTCCCATAAGATCAACACACTAGTCAACACACTCATTCCCATAAGATCAACACACTAGTCAACACACTCATTCCCATAAGATCAACACACTGGCCAACACACTCAATCCCACAAGATCAACACACTGGTCAACACGCTCAATCCCACAAGATCAACACACACCAACACACTCATTCACATAAGATCAACACACTGGTCAACACACTCAATCCCACAAGATCAACACACTTGTCAACACACTCATTCCCATAAGATCAACACACTTGTCAACACACTCAATCCCACAAGATCAACACACTTGTCAACACACTCATTCCCATAAGATCAACACACTAGTCAACACACTCATTCCCATAAGATCAACACACTAGTCAACACACTCTTTTCCCATAAGATCAACACACTGGTCAACACACTCATTCCCATAAGATCAACACACTAGTCAACACACTCATTCCCATAAGATCAACACACTAGTCAACACACTCATTCCCATCAGATCAACACACTAGTCAACACACTCATTCCCATAAGATCAACACACTAGTCAACACACTCATTCCCATAAGATCAACACACTAGTCAACACACTCATTCCCATAAGATCAACACACTAGTCAACACACTCTTTTCCCATAAGATCAACACACTGGTCAACACACTCAATCCCATAAGATCAACACACTAGTCAACACACTCATTCCCATAAGATCAACACACTAGTCAACACACTCATTCCCATAAGATCAACACACTAGTCAACACACTCATTCCCATAAGATCAACACACTAGTCAACACACTCTTTTCCCATAAGATCAACACACTGGTCAACACACTCATTCCCATAAGATCAACACACTAGTCAACACACTCATTCCCATAAGATCAACACACTAGTCAACACACTCATTCCCATAAGATCAACACACTAGTCAACAAACTCATTTCCCATAAGATCAACACACTTGTCAACAAACTCATTTCCCCGCAAGATCAACACACTTGTCAACAAACTCATTTCCCATAAGATCAACACACTTGTCAACAAACTCATTTCACATAAGATCAACACACTGGTCAACACACTCAATCCCACAAGATCAACACACTTGTCAACACACTCCAACACACTCATTCACATAAGATCAATACACTGGTCAACACACTCAATCCCACAAGATCAACACACTGGTCAACACGCTCAATCCCACAAGATCAACACACTGGTCAACACACTGGCCAACACACTCAATCCCACAAGATCAACACACTGGCCAACACACTCAATCCCACAAGATCAACACACTGGTCAACACGCTCAATCCCACAAGATCAACACACTTGTCAACACACTCCAACACACTCATTCACATAAGATCAACACACTGGTCAACACACTCAATCCCACAAGATCAACACACTTGTCAACAAACTCATTTCCCATAAGATCAACACACTTGTCAACACACTCATTTCCCATAAGATCAACACACTAGTCAACACACTCATTCCCACAAGATCAACACACTTGTCAACACACTCAATCCCACAAGATCAACACACTGGCCAACACACTCAATCCCACAAGATCAACACACTGGTCAACCCGCTCAATCACACAAGATCAACACACTGGTCAACACACTGGTCAACACACTCAATCCCACAAGATCAACACACTGGCCAACACACTCAATCCCACAAGATCAACACACTGGTCAACACGCTCAATCCCACAAGATCAACACACTTGTCAACACACTCCAACACACTCATTCACATAAGATCAACACACTGGTCAACACACTCAATCCCACAAGATCAACACACTTGTCAACAAACTCCAACACACTCATTCCCATAAGATCAACACACTGGTCAACACACTCAATCCCACAAGATCAACACACTTGTCAACAAACTCCAACACACTCATTCACATAAGATCAACACACTGGCCAACACACTCAATCCCACAAGATCAACACACTGGTTAACACACTGGTCAACACACTCAATCCCACAAGATCAACACACTTGTCAACACACTCCAACACACTCATTCACATAAGATCAACACACTGGCCAACACACTCAATCCCACAAGATCAACACACTGGTCAACACGCTCAATCCCACAAGATCAACACACTGGTCAACACACTCAATCCCACAAGATCAACACACTGGCCAACACACTCAATCCCACAAGATCAACACACTGGTCAACACGCTCAATCCCACAAGATCAACACACACCAACACACTCATTCACATAAGATCAACACACTGGTCAACACACTCAATCCCACAAGATCAACACACTTGTCAACAAACTCATTTCCCATAAGATCAACACACTTGTCAACACACTCATTTCCCATAAGATCAACACACTTGTCAACACACTCATTCCCATAAGATCAACACACTTGTCAACACACTCAATCCCACAAGATCAACACACTTGTCAACACACTCATTCCCATAAGATCAACACACTAGTCAACACACTCATTCCCATAAGATCAACACACTGGTCAACAATTTCATCAAAGCTTTTCCGTTCTCGCCAGGTAAAAAATATTGCAGTAAGAAGAAGACTGGTAAGATTCATACTAGAGACTTGTGTTTTCAGAAACTCTACTCACATGTCCTCCCCTGCTGAGAAGATGAGCTTACGGAGCTGGCGGAAGGGCTCGGCAAAGTAGATCTTGCAGTAAAACCTTGCCCCACTGTCGGAAAATTCTGAAACAGACAAGATGCATTGAAATGTCTTCCCATGTAAACCTCCACCTTCACACCAACACAAGCTGATCCCGGCCCAGAAAAATGGAATACTGATTCAAGCTGAGGGCAAATGTGAATAATCACATAGGTCAATGTGAGGGCAAATGTGAATAATCACATAGGTCAAAGTGAGGGCAAATGTGAATAATCACATGGTTAAATGTGAGGGCAAATGTGAATAATCACATGGGTCAATGTGAGGGCAAATGTGAATAATCACATGGTTAAATGTGAGGGCAAATGTAAATAATCACATGGGTCAATGTGAGGGCAAATGTGAATAATCACATGGGTCAATGTGAGGGCAAATGTAAATAATCACATGGGTCAATGTGAGGGCAAATGTAAATAATCACATAGGTCAATGTGAGGGCAAATGTGAATAATCACACGGGTCAATGTGAGGGCAAATGTGAATAATCACATAGGTCAATGTGAGGGCAAATGTGAATGATCACATAGGTTAGTGTGAGGTCAAATGTGAATAATCACATAGGTCAATGTGAGGGCAAATGTGAATAACTACATAGGTCAGTGTGAGGGCAAATGTGAATAATCACATAGATAAGTACGAGGGCAAATGTGAGTAATCACATAGGTTAGTGCGAGGGCAAAGGTCAGAATTAATAAAGCACAATATGAGGGCAAAAGTCAGAATTCAAGCAGTTCATTGTGAATACAAGGGTCAGTACTCACGCAGCTCGATGTGGGGGCTGATGGTCTGTTTGCTGTTGGCCTTGGACTTGTCCACCTCACTGACCGTACTGGACGTGAGAACTGAGTAGTTGTCAGGGTCCTCTGGAAACACACAACACGTGTCATTTCTTAACAAATCTTACTAACTGAGTATTTTCAAAAACATTATTTTTGAGTCAAGTTTCCTCATTCACACACATGTCCCATAACCTATGTGCAGCAACTATATGGAGGAGCTCATTGTTCACAATGAGTAATCAATCTTAATCTTTTAAATATCATCAACACAAAAAAGACACCAAATTAATCTAGCATGTGGTATCTTCTGTTCATCTAAATCGACTTTTGGTTACCAAGAAACTTCTCAATGAGAAATGTTAATGGCAGCTCAAATGTTTATCCAAAGTGTATTCATAGCTTCAGTTTCATTTAGGTATTGTTTTTTTCACTTTTATCAGACAAAAATATGAAATCTTTCTGTTCATCAAATTGCTACTGATCATACCCTTGGTTAAACTCCAAACATAGTCATATCTTGATGGACATGCTACACTGAAATCAGTAATATGTGACTGACATGTAACACAAATCTAGGACAACAGGAAGTGAACGTCATGCATGAACAGAGTTCAAGTATTTCTTGTGAAACACTCGTCAACATAACATGCCTTTCACAGGATCTATGTTTCATGTTCCCACATCTCCCTAGCCCTCGACATTGTAATTAATACCATGTGATCATTACTGGGTTGACCGATACACTGCATAATATATGCCCAAACTGGAGTTTAAGGGACATGCCTAAGAGTCAGCGCCATATCCCCCCTTTAACATGAAACGTTAAAGGTCACATGCAACCAAAAAATCAAACATAATTAAAACACAATTATCACTTATTCATGACATATAATATACATTGCTGGTTACGAAAAAATATATAAACAAAATTATAAGCGTACAATCGCAAATCGAAAGCGCAAAATTGTGTACTTCGGTTTACTTCCCAAGAAACGAAGCAGCCGGGATACCGAACCCAGTCAGAGCGGGTGGGTGTGCACTCAAGTGTAACGGCTGGTTCATTTGCAGATGCCTTCACGGCTAATTGTGTGTATACATATAGAGAGATGTTGGGTTTTGTAAATACATGCTCATTTTTTGTGTATAACATTTTGCAATCAACAGACATCATAACATGCCATGTGTTCAAATATCACACCTGCCTGTCTGTGTAATTACATAATGTGACAGAAACCGGCCATAAATCAATGCATTTTGTTTATGGTGTATAGCCTGATTGGTGTTAAGTTCAAATTGCATGTGGTCAGTGATAGCAGCTGTGTATTGAATATTGTCATTAGCAGACAGGCAGGCAGACACACAGGTGTCAATAAAACAAGACATTGAGTTTTGTCTGTGACAACGACATATCTATATTACAGTTAGAAATTCTGTCAACGCTAAATAATGACATTGCTTTTAAGTATCGAACTGAGAAAGTGTCTCGGTAAGAAGAACGTGTGGTGAAATAGACAAATGAAATTATATAAACCGTTAATTTACTGTCATAACATATAAAAAGCTCGCGCCTGTGAGATATCAACAAAACATTAGAAAAATAGCTCACACCAAAGCCTTCACCGAGTATTCACCCGACAACCCGCTTCCAAGCTGCGCGAACCTATTTAATTGCGCACGTGCTATGAGCGCAGCCCAGCTGTTGAAACCGGTTTTCCCCAGAAAAGTCTGGGGAAAATTAGTGAAACGTTTGAACTCCGATTTCGCGCGTTTTTTTTCATCGCGTTATTTTTCAACTTTATAAGTTGAATTTGCATTTTTGACGATTTGTTTCGGTATGTCCATACCAAAAGGTATCAGAATCTGCAAAGTTGTGTTTTACGTTGCATGTGACCTTTAACCAATGAAATATCCATAAACTTGTAACATCAGTGTAAGCAGCATATCAGTGTGTTGTTATGTGACATGTAACAGAGAGTGATGCTGTACAAACTAAAGCTTCTCGACAAAAGCAACAATATTGTGTTGGCCAAATGTAACTAATTGGAGAAAATTATAAAAGCATGAAATCTGATTGCATCAAGAAATATTATTGTACTGTGTTTCCATCACTGAGTTATTGCACGGCTAAATGAAAAAGGAACTGCTACTGGGAAATCACCCTGTCACTTTGCATCCTGCATGTTACATCTTTTTATTGCCAATAATTAGCAACATTTTTCAAATTTCCCGTGTCATATGAATCTGACAGTGTTATTCCTGCTTGCCAACTAAGATTGTATACAGAGCAAAGTTTGATATGTGGCCAGCCATCTGTTGGTACTCTGTACTATTATGAATGTCCTGGAAGTCAGATCACATGTCAAGCAGAAGAAGCTAGGTCTGTGGATTAAGCAAACTTTATCACATTTTTAAGTCAAGTGTGTTGTTTGCTGATTAGTGTCTACACTTCAAAGGTACAGCTACCCACATGAATATTATGCTGCATTTTAGTCGGTTGTAGGAAATAAAGTCATAGGACATAAGGTCATGGAAAAAAAGTGATAGATTTGGGTAGGACACACACACTAATCTAGCAACATTCTGAGTCGAGATTCACATCAAAGGGTGGATATCACGTCAATGTGGTTATTTTCATGTGACCTATATTATATGTAACCCTCCCTCATCTTCACCTTCATTCAGCAATATTGTGGCAATTTCAGAGTAACCTGTAAATCATTATAGGTGGGTCTTGAGTAGCCAATGGCTGACATGGGCAATGCTGTGATGGCACACAATAGACCAAGACACTGTGCCTGATCTATTTGGTGTATTGTCACATTTGGTGTATACATGTCATACTTGGTGCATAAATGTCATACTTGATGTATTAGTGTGTCATACACAGTGCATTAATCCACCATACTTGGTATATTAACGTCATACTTGGTATATAAATGTCATACTTGGTGTATTAGTGTGTCATACACAGTGCATTAATCCATCATACTTGGTATATAAATGTCATACTTGGTATATAAATGTCATACTTGGTGTATTAGTGTGTCATACACAGTGCATTAATCCATCATACTTGGTATATAAATGTCATACTTGGTATATAAATGTCATACTTGGTGTATTAGTGTGTCATACACAGTGCATTAATCCATCACACTTGGTGTATACATGTCATACTTGGTATATAAATGTCATACTTGGTATATAAATGTCATACTTGGTGTATTCGTGTGCCAAACAGTGCATTAATCCAACACACTTAGTGTATACATGTCATACTTGGTATATAAATGTCATACTTGGTGTGTTAGTGTGCCGCACACAGTGCATTAATCCATCACACTTGGTATATAAATGTCATACTTGGTGTATTCGTGTGCCAAACACAGTGCATTAATTCATCACACTTGGTATATAAATGTCATACTTGGTATATAAATGTCATACTTGGTGTGTTAGCGTGCCATACACTGTGCATTGTATAATGCAGTGTATAACTTGGAGTAATTGTGTGTCACACATAGTGTACTGTCATACCTGGAGTATAAATGTCAAACTTAGATTAATTATGTGTCATACATAGTGTATTAATGTCATATTAAATCCTTTCAAGATGGCAAACCTGGTGTACTAATGTGGTATATTAAGTACATGGTCAAACACTTTGTACAAGGTAAAACTTGGTGTGTAAAGCATCACACATGGTGGGTAATACGAGTCTTCAGGGAGGTACACAAACAGCTAGTACACGTAAATCTCCAGACTCAATAGTCCATGTCAATAGAGAGAATAAAGGAGTGCATTATCCCACTTCACTACTGCTCACGTCTCACATAGTGTTGACATATTTCCTGAATTAACTAAAATCATTTAATGTCTACAGGTGATGTTAGTAAGGATGTGGGATATATACAACATCAATGACGTAAGTAGGGATCATCATCATCATCATCATCATCATCATCACTTCATGTCCGCTTTCTCACAACTACCGAAAATATTTCAATACATGAAGGATGTAAATACAGGGACTAATTCTATCAATCATTTCAATATCAAATTGATAAATCTTTACTGTTCTATTTTATGAATTCTTAAAAAAAAGTGTTGTCAAGAAACTTTGTGCCACAACATCGAACACACAACGCAATGACATGCGAGATATGACATTACCATGTTGACATGTGAACAAGTGCCTATCACGAGCAACGTAAATTATATGGGACAAGCAAAGAGACAAACTCGGAGGGAGAACACATGCAGGGGAAAATAAAAACTATGTGCTTCTGATTTGCTTCCCCTTAAAACAAGGAAACTGACACCACCAAAAACAGACAAAATTATACCACTTTATATACCACTTTAAAAAAACAACTTTATCGGGCGAGTGAAACTAGGATTGGAGACATGACAGTTTTCCTAGGTAAAATAAAAGTCATGTCAATAATCAAGCCACATAGTTACACAGCATGTCGATGATACACATGACAATAATTTCAATCAAGGAAAATAGGACGCAATGGAAAGAAACTTTCTCAAAAAAATATGCTGTATGTAAGGAAACTGGTTCCCATCAGAAACACATGTTTCATTTCACTGTCATTTCATGCAAATACCTTCATTGCTATCTCCATCAATTTTAGGTGTGTATTTCACCGCATCAATAAATTCATTTTTTCTTGACATACAAGGACTTTGTTCCTTAGATGTTCCTCGGAAAAAAGACAAAACCCCACTTCCTGCACGTTTGCCTGAAGAAATTCCACATAAATTGTTCATGAAAAACAGTACTCATGTAAAGACATCAGACACCAACTTGCATAACGGAAACTTTTCAGTAACACTGACTGAGTTTGGTTTTACGCCGCTTTTAGCAATATTCCAGCAATATCACGGCGGGGGACACCAGAAATGGGCTTCACACATTGTGCCCATGTGGGGATTCGAACCCGGGTCTTCGGCGTGACGAGCCAACGCTTTAACCATTAGGCTACCCCACTGCCCCTTTTTCAGTAACATGAATCTAGCATGCGGACGCAAGTCAGACAGCTGGTATTTAAAACCATCTTTACAATCATAACTTC